TGCTGTGCAGGCCTGTGTCTCTTCACTACTGGGTGGAGAGCCAGGACACAAGCTCTCTTCAATCTCAGGAAAGATCAGGGACATGGCCTAGGACATGGCCTTCTTTCAGCATTTTCAGTGGCTGTAATTTATAATTAATTCAGCAGATGTGCTGTGGAACATTCATGGTTTCTAACAGTCCACATCTTAACTGATTAAGAAGTGAATACGGTGTCTGTCAATCTCATTTTTATAATGACTCTTAGAAGTGGAATTTCCACGTTAAATGTATATAAGATCAATTTGAGGGTCTCAGATTTTTCACCTGAAACCTCAGCATAGAGTTAGAGCCTGGTAGAGGAAGACTGAGTCTGCTCAGATCTATGTGGAGATCTAAAGTCAGAGAGATGGTCCAGGCAGAGGTGTAGGACACCATGGCTAAAAAAGGCCTGGTTCAGTCCTCCTCATCCATCAGAAAGTTGTCAGGAAAGCATCACACACTGTACGCTGCACAGGATAGAGCTGGAATGGTTCCAGAGCTCCTCCCTACATGCCTGAGGTCCCCTCTCTCACTCAGGGGAGCTCTGTATGAGGTCAGTCTGTTACAGAGCCCAACTTGACTGAACGATTTCCACCCAGGTGCAGATCTGAACTGCTACATGTGGACTCACCGTAGTTATGGAGCAGGACAGGTGTTTACAGGGAGCAGGTCAGGAGGTCGGGACACTGCAGGCAGGTCAGGGTATGAAGCTTTAAATCAGAGACCAGGCCCTCACCAGGCCCAGTTTCCTCCGGCAGTAACCACACCATGCAAGAATGTGCATTAAATCTGAGTAACTGAAAGGAGTTACTCACAAAATTATATATTATAGAGATAGTTTGAAGATACAAAATAAATGGTAGCATCCATAAGTAAAATGAGATGTGACCCTTAATGGATATGTGATGTCCCCAAACCACATGCATCAGAAGGAAATAGTCTGATGAACAGAGCAATAAGGAGCACAGGCAATGGGTAAAAATCACAGCTTCTTAATAACAACAACAAAGCTGGGATACAAAAAGTGCACTGGTGAATTTTATCCAGTATATAATAAAGAATATATACTGATTGTTTTTCAATTCTTTGATCAAGTTGAAGGAAAACCCACCACCAACTTCTTTTAAGTGACAAAGTTAAAGTTATCCTGAGAATGAAGCCAGACAATAATGTGTTAAAAATAATATACATGAAAACACTCTGTTGGCTAATATTCCTACCAAACATAAACAAAAGTGTTCAGCTAAATGTTTACAACGTTAACTCACCAGCATATTCAAAGTTAACCAACGTGATCAACACTGTGCTCAATCTCAGTGGTGCAAGAATGGTACCTCTCTAACAAACTATGTGTTTCCACTGGTTTTAACATGTTGTATCTTACTATATTTTACTATATGTGATAGTATAAAGAAAAATTTTTATAGGCAAGGAGATAATATAGAAACCATTGTTCGTTTTCTGTTAACTGGTTCTAAATACCCTGTAATTCTTTCATTCTCTTGAATGGCTTCACACTGTCTTGATATGCTTGATGCTATCATATATGAAGTTATACTTAAATAATTCAAGGAATGAGGCACTATGGTGACTACTATTGTGTTAGATTATCTGGGAGTGAAACACAATTATGCTTAAATTGTTCCATTCTGACCAGTGTTGTTCTATTACAATGTCCTCTTTTATCTCAATCTCCACCCTTTTTTTAAATTAAACTTTTTTACTTTTTCAATTAAGGGAAAACTAAATTTAAAAATAGCGGGATATATTATAGTAACTATTTGTTTTCCTATTAACCTGATTTGACCCCAGCATTGCTCTCCACATCTTGTTGTGTTTGATTTTACTATTATTGTATTTTGTTTGATAGTATCAATTTTGAGGTTATAGACAACCACTTTGAAAGCCATAAGATTTATTATGACGCCCATTATAGTTTGACTATTATCTTCTTTTGAAGTCTTGCCAGGTTTCCAGTGTAGGTTTTATTGGTCTTGTTCTGTACTGTTTTGATCAATTCTATTATACCTGATGATATAGTAACTCTTTTTAAAAATAGCAAGAGGCACAATGGTAACCATTTTTGATCATCTGGTATTCTATTTTTGCATCATGTACTATGCTCATCCTTCTGTTCTAACTGTCTCTGTTTTATTTAGTCATGTTAGGATGTATTCTCTTCAAAAAAATGTAATAAGAACTGTGGGAGTAAAAAAACTCAAAACGTGTAACTGTTATTGTAAAAAGGAGAGGAAAGGAAGGTGGTCTAAGGGATATAACTGCATGCTTGAGTGTGTAGGATGGAAAATCATATTACTGAGCTTTTGTTGGATCACTGAACAGAACTTTCTGCAATCTCACTGTATGAATGTCCACTTTATATGCTTTAATTTTATAATTTGGACAACTGTTTCTAAGATGACTGAAAGGGTTTTGGCCCAGATAGGACACTGTAGCCAATAAAGCCACAACCGGAAGCAGGAAGCCCCATCTCCCCTTCCCCTAGGAAGTTACCTGTGACACCATCTTCCTGCCCCTGGAAATTTACATATGGCGCCAAACCTAGGACCAATGGGCTACCTGTGTATCCCTAATGCCTGCCTTAGTTTCCACCCCAAACCGAGCCTATTTACAGGCCCCCACGTCACGTGTGCGCCGGAGAGATCGCCAGACGCCAGCAGTGGGGGTGCCAGGCATCTCTCTCTGTGTTCTCAGAATAAAGGCCACTTTTTATTTTATATTTCTCATCTTTTGTTAATATTTTCATCTTTTGGAAATAACCCTAGCAATGACAATATGTAACCTATTAACTAGTGATTTCTTTCTGTATTTTTTCTTGAAATTCTGTATTACTTGTACCCTTTTATTGCTTTGTTTTTTATTTCCTTTCTTCTCTTTAATTAAACAAATAATCAAACCTGGAATGGATATCTTTTATTTATTTATTTTTTTGGCTCTGGAGATCAAAATCATGGCCTCACACTTGCCAGGCAGGTGCCTTAAGCCACTGAGCTAAATCCCCAGCCCACCAATGGATATCTTTTACACATTGTCATCTTCAGAGTAGTTGCCTGTGCTCTTGAACTTGATACCAGCAAGCATACCAAATGTGAATAAAATCAGTCAAGGCCAAATAACATTGAAACAATCCAGCTTCAAAGATCAGTCATAGAAGACAATAAGTAATATAGGGATTCAGTTTTAGTTAATAGTAAATTAAGGATAATTACCATGGTATAACCTGCTATTTTTGGGTTATCTCTCTGTGCCTTCAAATCTAATATGAGTAGACAGAACAGAACAAAATACAACCAAACTAAACAGAGCAACAAGACTACTGTAACTTTTAAATCCTGATACACTTTTAACTATGTCCTCTGTCTTCTTTTTTTAGGCAATTCCTCACCTTTCTCCTTCTCAGGATACTATTATTCTCTGTTCAGAGTGATATTAGTCTAGTCTCTTATGTTCCATTTCAGCATACATAAAGATAAAGACAGCTACTACAAAGACAATGAGAGACATTATGGTAATCATTATGGACTTCCCCAAAATCAGTCTTGAAGATCGAAAAATCTTGCATTGTCCTGTAATTATTTGATTAGTTCTATAATATTCAGTATATATTCAATGTGTGTGAGGATGGGAACAACTATTTGGAAGAAAACTAGAGACAGTAAGCTAGACAGTGAACATTTCCAGTGGACTTGCTTTGAAATCTGTGTTTCCTTAACTTGTTTCCTTATGAACTGTTTTGCTCTGTTTCGCTATGATTAATCTTAATCTCTTTAAGAAAAAAAAGTGTGTAGGACAGATAGGCATATTAATAACTTTTTGTGGATCATTGAGGTGAACCGTGACAGTGTCATTATTTGAATATCACTTTGTATGCTTTAAATTTGTAACTTGAACAACTACTTCTAAGATGACAATATGATACTAATCTACTAGTGATTTCTTATTGTTTATTTTTCTGAAATTCTATATTATTTCTACACTTTTTTTCTCTTTAAATAAACAACATTACAATTCACCAGAAAATACAAAATTTAAGTTTTAAAGACAAAATATTAAGTACGGAGGCACTATCCATACTTGAAAGTGAAAAGCCCCATTTCAGTTTAGCATGTTTAATTACAAGATGCCATGTTGAAGCACAAAAACATCTAGATTAAAAAATCTAGAGAGGTACAAGTGATTAACTGAAAACCATACAACATGTGTACCTAAGGAGAGCCCCACATCAGATTTGTCATTTCTGGAATATTTGTGAAGAAATATTGACATCTAACTTCTGTATCGATTATTTCTTCAGGTCTCCTTGGGATTTTTAAAGTAAACTTAGATCTAAACTGTCTGAACAGTGATGCTTTTTCTATGTATTTAACAAGAAACATGGATTGCTATATTTCTCACATTGGTAATCCACATATCATCTCTGCCTAGTGAGCTCTTTCAGATATGTAACAATGACCAAGTATGCTGAGAGTATTCCCATAACACATAGGATTTATCTCTTGTGTGAGTTTTTTTCATGTATTTCCCTTACAATCTGGCTGTTGAAAGTGTCTCCACTTGCTTACATAGCCAGTGGTTCTTCCCAGTGTGAATTGTTTCATGTGTTTGGCAATGACTATATGCAGTAAAAGCTTTGCCACATTGTTATATGCATAGGCTTTCTCACCAGTGTGAAGTCATAGATGTATTTTACAAAATCCATGTGTGGTGAAAGCTTTCCCACATTCTTCACATACACACAGGGTTTCTCAACATGTAAATTTTATAATGTATTGTACAATGAGCATTTCTGCTGAAACCTTTCCCACATTCCTTACGTATGTAAGTTTTCTGCCCAGTGTGAAGATTTTCATGCATTATGCAATATGTACATGTGCTAAAACCATTCTCATGATGCCTATATACACTGGTTTTATATTGAATGTGAACTTTCATGTTTCTTACAACCTCCCTGTGTTTTAAAAGCTTTCCCACATTGCTTACACACATATGATTTCTCTCCAGTGTGAATTCTTTCATGAACCTTACAATTTGTACTTGTGTTAAAAGCTTTCCCACATTGCTTACATACATAGGGTTTCTCTCCAGTGTGAATTCTTTCATGTTTCTTACAGTATCCCCTTGTTTTAAAAGCTTTCCCACATTGCTTACATACATATGGTTTCACTCCAGTGTGAATTATTTCATGAACATTACAATTTACACGTGTGTTAAAAGCTTTCCCACATTGCTTACATACATATGGTTTCTCTCCAGTGTGAATTCTTTCATGTTCCTTACAACGTCCAGGTCTGGTAAAAGCTTTCCCACATTGCTTACATACATACAGTTTCTCTCCAGTGTGAATTCTTTCATGATTCTTACAATTTCCCTGTGTTTTAAAAGCTTTCCCACATTGCTTACACACATATGGTTTCTCTCCAGTGTGAATTCTTTCATGAACCTTACAATTTGTACGTGTGTTAAAAGCTTTCCCACATTGCGTACATGCATAGGGTTTCTCTCCAGTGTGAATTCTTTCATGTTTCTTACAGTATCCCCTTGTGTTAAAAGCTTTCCCACATTGCTTACATACATATGGTTTCTCTCCAGTGTGAATTCTTTCATGTCCCTTACAACGTCCAGGTCTGGTAAAAGCTTTCCCACATTGCTTACATACATACGGTTTCTCTCCAGTGTGAATACTTTCATGATTCTTACAATCTCCCTGTGTTTTAAAAGCTTTCCCACATTGCTTACATACATAGGGTTTCTCTCCAGTGTGAATTCTTTCATGAACCTTACAATTTGTACGTGTGTTAAAAGCTTTCCCACATTGTTTACATACATATGGTTTATCTCCACTTCGAATTCTTTCATGTTGTTTAAAACATTCAGGTCTGGTAAAAGCTTTCCCACATTGCTTACATACATAGGGTTTCTCTCTAGTGTGAATTCTTTCATGTTCCTTACAATTTCCAGTTTGCATGAAACCTTTTCCACATTGCTTACACACATAGGGTTTCTCTCCAGTGTGAATTCTTACATGAACCTTACAATATGCACGTGTTTTAAAAACTTTCCCACATTGTTTGCATACATATGGTTTCCCTCGACTGCAATATTTTTCATGGATCTGAACATCGTGGTGTGTTTCTGTTTCTTTCACATTCACATTACCTTCTGCAGTACAAAGGAATACTTCTTTATACTGCTTCCAAGTATGTTCATAAGATTCCCCTAGCTTGTCATTTCTGTAAAGAAAAAATCACATATAGGATTTATAACCATATTACTAAGCTTTTCTTGGAGAGTTGAACAAAACTGTTTACAGTCCCACTGTTTGAATCCCCACTTCATATGTTTCACTTTTGTATTTCATAACTATTTCTATGATCAGCATTTGTAATCATCATCTTGCAATTTCTTACTGTTTTTTTCACTTTGAAAGCAGTATTATTTCTACTTATTTTATCTTATTTAATCTTTCCTTATATTAAATTTAAAAAAAGAAAAATTCACAGTGAAATTGGTCTCCATTTAATAACTGCATTAATATCAAGTTCTGTTTTTAATGCCTGCTAAGAAATTCTGACCATGAAGCAACAGAAAGGCCTTAAAAGATATGTTGAAAACAACCATTCCCAAAAGACTGGTACACATTTGGAAATCTTAAAAGTTGGTACTTTGAAATGCATAATCTTTAGCTTCACTTTGGGCATGGGTACATATATGTATCACATGCAAATTATTCTCATATGTTTCCCCATCACAATCTCCCTTCTGTCCTTAACCTGTAGCTCCCTTTTCCATATAGTCAGTCTTACTTTTCTCTAACAACTCTGTTTCATTTCTTTCCACATTTTGTATTTTGGTTTCTCATCTAAAAGAAAGCCAGTGACCTTTTAGTTTTTATAGCTGAGCTATTTCACTGAATTGATGGGTGAAAGACCCATCTAATTCTTATAGCAAATGAAATTATATTATTTATTTTTTGACATTATATAACACATTTTTCCATTCTGGGATGGGAATGAACAACAGGTATTAGCATAAATCTATATCTTTTTAAAAATCTATTTTAAGAGATTTTCATAGATCATTAAGCTGTGAAGTTTGAATTTGAAATTGCCATTCTGCAAAATCTGATTCCTAGTGTGCTGAGTATACAAGAATGCACAATCACAGAGAGTCTATTAACATTTTCCTTCTCCACAAATCCAGTGAAAATATATAAGCTTCAAGGCCTTATCTGTTATAACTTGATCTGCTTTGTATATGAGTAAGCATGTATCAGTATTTTATGCAGATTTTGAGATTTTAAAAATATCCAGGACAAGTATGAGGGGATCAATTTCTAGAGATAACTGCATACTGATATTCAAAATGAGTGCACTAACATTCCACCAGCCTACTAAGAATATTAGTCAGAATTGCCGATTGTCTAGAGCATGGCTTGGAAACATGAGCACTCAGTTTTATTTCAAATTCTATTGCAATCTTAGCAATTGTTAGATAATGAAAGTGTTGTATTCACATGTATATATGGGTAGAAAAGCTGAAGGCAGAATGTCATAACTCAAAGTGTATGCCTTTCGTAATCATCTATATGCAATGTCATACATTTTCATGATTTAATTCCCTCATATATACACTAGCTTATACATCTTGGGAGAATATTACTGACATTAAATTGAATGGTGCCTCATTTCTTTGGTGGTCATTTTTCTGCTGACTCACTAATTACTCAAGAACATTCCTCTCCTTGTGAGTGTGAATTACCTTAAGTATCTCCAGTAAATTTTGCATTCTTTTTCAGCTTCCTGGATATCCCCAAGTCCTCCTGAATTGTAGACATAGAAATACCAGGACTCAGTTGAGTAATGCATACAAATTAATAGATTTTGTTTAGATTTATGATATAATGTGTCCAGGTCTGAGATATTTTTAAAAATATTTTCATATTCTTTTTAACGAAACAGCACTAATGAGCAACAAACAATATTCTGACAGCATGAGTGCCAAAAACATTTCTTCCTTACCTATTGCAGCCATGTTTCTAAAGGTTTCGACCATCACATCTCTGTAGAGGTTCTTTTGGGATGGACTCAGCAAACTCCACTCCTCACTGCTGAAGTTCACAACCACATCCTCAAAGGTCACCACCTCCTAAAGGATCATACATATATTTCTCAAAGGAAGGTTGAGACCCCAGGTTTGGGATATCTTAAATTCTTTCCTACAAATCTGAATCAAAAGCAAAGTGCGGTGGTGCATATCTATAATCCCAGCACTCAAAAGGGGAGAAAGGAAGGCATCAGTGAGGTCAGGGCAATTCTAGGCTCAATACGGTGTTCAAATCCAGCTGATATACATGCAGAAAGCTTGTCTCAATAAAACAAAACTAAACTCAACAAATAAAGCCAAACAAAACAGCTGAATGAAGACTGATTTGTTCAAATTTAAATCCATGTCTTGGTCATTAATTTTGTGTCTATACACATTTTTGAAGACAGCAAATTTGATGCTAGATTGCAACTCACTGCTAATATAACAGCCAAATTGGAGCACTGATTCTTGTGCTGAGTCATGGCAAGATTCCTTGTGCACTTTCTCTAATGCAGAGCTCACAGTGAGAAGCCGGCAGGACCAGCAACCACAAAGCACAGAGGCAGATAAATGTCTCATCAATTGCCTGGGAAGCCAAGCAAGCACCTCCCCTCCCCAGTCAGCAGTGACAATCTGGAAAACTGCAGCCCTTCCAGGGGGATAACCAGCAGCAGCTCCTAAGGTCTGTTCTATGTGGGAACTTAGGGCTCTGTGAAACCAAACAACCAGCCTGTCTCCCTACTAAGCAATAGTAAAACTACTGATACACTACTTGGAATCAAACATCCCACTTCCCTACCCCTCTTCTCCTGTCACCCCAAATTAGCAAATGGGAACCAGAAATCTGAGCATCTGCTGGGAATTAGACCATAGCAAATAAGGGGGACTTCCTTCTACTATCTCTTTGAAGGAAAATGTTTTTATTATTGTTTCACTCCATTCTGATTAATGGTACTGCTCAATTGAATATTCTGTTTTGATAAGTTCTATAATGTTCTGTATTTCATCTCATTTTGATATATGTGATTAAAGAACAACTATAACAAAGATAACAAAATATACTGTGATACCTATTACTGTTATCCCAGTAACCTGTTGTGAAGTTGTGTACCAATTTCACTGTGTGATCTTAGTTGGCCTTATGCTGCCTGTTTCTGTTCTATTTTACCAATTTCAAAATTAAATAAAAAATCTCAGCAATCACTTTGATAGACTACAGATGATGTCTGTTCAAATCTCATTTAGGCCAATGAATACTTTTTTCTTAATATACTTAAGCAGGATTTTGAAACATGAATTTGGTTTCATAGAACAAAACATAAATAACATTAAATATGGTATATAAATAATAACTCAAGTGTTAGTGGAAAACAGCTGTATTTTAAAAATATGTATATAAAATGAAACCAGGCCCAAGCTATAAATTATACCTCACTGTCACCAAGTGATCACTTTCAATTCAAATATAAGAAATAAATCTTGGGAGGCTGGTGAAGGATTTCTTCCTTGAATTTGGGGCTATCCTAAGTTACAGAGCTGTCTAAAATAGACAAACCCTGATTGAGACACCGAACAGATAAAGTGAAACTTAAAAAGAGACTTCATGAGATACCTTTGGTTTGTTTTTAAAAAAAATTATAGCCATACAATACTGAAAAATTCCAACAATATTCAACACTTTCTCAGAAACAATGTGGATATCGTCCATACAACACAGAAAACATTTTCATCGTTGTGTATTTAGCTCAGTGTCATGAACACCTGCCTGGAAAGCACAGGTCATGCGTTTGATCCTTGGTACAAAAAAATTGAAAATTTCAGCTTCATGACACTGGGGCTTAATTAGAGATAATCAAATTAGATCTCAAGTACGGAACACAAAAATTATGGGTTGACAGGGATGTGGAATACTGATTGTTTGTTGCCAGAGCTGGTGTTGATCACCTCAATGAAGCAATCAGAACCCAACTTTACTTCATATTTACTCTAAGAACTACCTGACTTTCAGTGAAGACGCTCTCTGTTGTATGTCCTGCTATTTGCTGCCTGCATCCTGTCAGTCACTTCCAAATCTTTTCCACACTCCTCTGATCCATCCTTAGCAGAAAACCCTTCATGCCTAACTATCAATATCACTGCAAAATTTCTATTTAGGGCTTCTCATTTACACCACTTAGATAACTCCATTGTAGAGAATTTTCATATTTAAACTGTCTATTAACAACCAAGCTACTAAATCAGCTCTTAGTTCAGAGGTGACACCGCTATTCCTTTCCATTTGGAAGGATATCACATGTATATGTCCATGCAAATGCGTAAATTTTGGCATTTTTCGATGAGAATTTAACAGGTAGCCCTTTCTGGAATTTGTCCTTCACAAATTTTTACCCTGTCCTTGATAACACTTTCATATTTGCTTCATTTTTCTCAGACTTCAAAACTCTATGGCTGTTCTCACAAACCTAGTGTGTGAGCAGGCGTGCCACCTAAATAATTAAGTATGATCAGAAATTATTTTGCACTGATCTGTATAATACACAGGAGTTCACCAGTTGTTTGGGAAACCTTTCTCTGCTGAGGCACAGTACTACATATCTCTGAATTCTCAGACCTTTGTCACTACCTGTCATGAGGATGGAAATAGGAGAACATACTATAAATTTAGGAGATCACTATAAATACAAAAAGCCCAAGTTTAAGTTGAACCATTGTGGCTATGAGGCCCTGCATTACATGCATTAATAATCTCTGGACATTCCAGATCTGCTCCTCTGTGGATAGAGAGCATAGACCTAGCTCATTACTGCTCTA